TGAAATATAAATCACACGTTGTAAAATGGTGTTTCCATCCCTACTTTTCCAAGGATTCTTCATATTGCTTTCCATATTCATAGAATCTGCCTCTTAGAGAGTAGAATGAAATGATTAGAGTGAAAGAAGTAGGGGGAGGGAAGAGTGGATGGTAAAGAGAGGTGTTATGTTATATGCATGTACAAATATGCCACAATGAAACCCACTGTTCTGCATAATTAATATGTAGCAATAAGTATATATTTTTAAATCTACCTTTTGGAACTATGTGATTTAATCAATAAAAGGAAAGTACTTGAACACTGTCATATACTTGTTAATAGTTTTCAATGTTCACTCTTATTCTAAGTGTTTGGATAAATCTAAATCAATGGGTCTCTGCCTTGAAATGAATTTGATTCAATTTAGAAATACAGCTGTTGGGCTGGGGTTGTGGCTCAGCAGTAGAGCACTTGCCTAGCATGTGTGAGGCCCTGGGTTTGATCCTCAGCACCACATAAAAATAAATAAATAAATAAAGGTATTGTGTACAACTACAACTAAAAAATAAATATTAAAAAATACCTTGCATTTAAAAAAAGAAATATAGCTGTTGAATTAATCCAAAAATAAGCAATAAGTTTTTTAGTGTTTAATTTCAATTAATCGCACACATATAAGATTTTTTTGAGAAATAGAGTACCTACAAATATAGAGATCTCTTTGTGAAAGTCTTTCCTCTACAAATTTATAAAATCCATTTTTCCAGTTTATAAAATAGAATGATGGACCAGCTTTCTTTTCTTAGTTTTTCTTCACATTTTTATTGGTTCATTATAGTTGTACAAATAATAATGAGGTTTGTTGTTACATATTTGTACATACACACAATACAATTGGCCAATGTCTCTTGCCAGCAATTCCCCCCCCCCCTTTTCTTCTCCCCACTCCCTGGTACCTTACCTCTATTCTACTGATTTCCCTTTTTCTGAATATGATCATCCTCTAGCCTTTCTTTCCTTTTTCTTCTCTAGCTTCCACATATGAGAGAAAACATATGACACTTAACTCTCTGAATTTGGTTTATTTCAGTTAACATAATAGTCTTTAAGTTTCATCCATTATTCTGCAAATTACACACTTTCATTTTTCTTTATGGCTGAATAAAACTTCATTGTGTATATATAACATATTTTCTTTATTTATTCATCTGTTGATGGATACCTAGGCTGATTCCATAGTTTGGCTTTTGTGCATTGTGCTGCTGTAAACATGGGTATGCACGTATCACTATAGTATGCTGATTTCAGGTCTTTGGGATAAATACCAAGGAGTGGTTTATCTGGGCCATATGGTGGTTCCATAACTAGTCTTTTGAAGAACATGCATACTGATTGATCAGATTTTTTTTTCTGAGAAATGATGAACCAGATCCAACATCAGACTTATCTCATAGGCAAAAGTAATAATAATAATGCTCCAAATTAAATTATATTGTAGCCAGAAGATATGACTAAAGCCAAAAAGGTTGCAAATTGAGTGTTGTCAGGGGAGAAAAGTTAAACAGCTTAGAGCATGTAAAATAGAGTCAAGGGAACTTGTTAAATCAACTCCCAGATGTATCCATGGCTGAACTTTTGAACAGAGCTGTCTGTGCGAACCACCTGGGTTCATGCTGACCTGGTGAGCAGGGTAAACTGAAACTCCTGAAATGAAATACATGTCCTGACACTGTGTGAAACATTCCCCTTGCTTCTTGAGACTCCCAATGCCCCATATTCAATGATGCGCAATTGGGTATCTTTCTATTTAAATCATAAGAGCCCCCCAAAAACAAAACTCTTGTTTTTCTTGACAAGGTGGTTTTTATTACAAACTAATATTTACCAAACTGTGCAATCATACTTTTAAATTCATTCCTATAGACTCTAAAATATACCTTTATTGAAAGGCCAGAGTGAAAATGATTTCATGCATGCATGAGGATGTTGGGATGAACCCAATGACTATATATAACTATAAAGCTCTAATAAAAAAATCACGAAGAAATAAAAAAGAAAGGCCAGAGTGATGCTATAGTAAAATAAAATAAGGAACAGATTTTGAAAGGAAAGAAGAAAGGAAGAAGAGGGCAATGCTAGAATAAGACAGTCCATGATCCATAAAATTATTATAGCCATAATATAAATGGTCTGAAAAGAGTTCCAACGAGCACAGACCTGGTGGAACAGAAAATATATGTTGTTTTGGCAAATTAAAAAAGGAGAAAATCCTGAGTTAATCAGAAAATTTTCTTTGAAAGGGGAAATCTATATCTCTGCCACCAATTCTCTACTGTATGGTATTTTTGATTCCTAATAAATGAGGAATACCTTTCCTCAGCTCACTATTTTTGGCAATGATTCTGATATAAGGGAACTGAACCAGAAGAAAATCCCCAAAGAATTTCAGAGAACTATTCTGTTACCTTATAACACAGAAGGGTGGATCACATGAAATAACACTTTCCTCAGGGCCATTTTCACATCCTTGTTTCTCAAAGAATAAATCAAAGGATTGAGGGAAGGGGTGACAATACTGTTTAACACCTGAACAACAGAATCTAGCCAGGGGCTGGAAGCAGGTCTGAGATAGACAAGAAACACAGGTCCATAGAACAAGAGGATGGAGGTCAGGTGGGCACTGCAGGTGGAGAAGGCTCTGCGCCTGCCTTCAGAGGAACGGATTCTCAATATAGAGAGAACAATGCGGGTGTAAGAAAGGAGGATAAGAAGAAAACACACCAGGGCAACCACACCTATGTTGGTGAAACTCACCATCTGTGCTAGAGAAGTGTCTGCACAGGCCAGGGACAGCACCACTGGAATGTCACAGAAAAAGCTGTCCACCTCATTGGGCCCACAGTAGGGCAACTTAAAGATGAGAAACGTGAGGATGCTCCCATGCACACAGCCCCCCAGCCATGTGCACACTGTCAGGCTGGTGCACATCCTCTGGTTCATGATGACAGTGTAGCGCATGGGGTGACAAATGGCCACAAAGCGGTCATAGGCCATCACTGTGTACAGGAAACACTCAGTGCCACCCAGAGTGTGGTAGAAGAAGACCTGGGAGGCACAGCCCTGGTAAGAGATGGTGCGGCTTCGCCCCGCCAGGGAGACCATCATCTTGGGGGAGTTCACAGAAGGGAAGAAGATGTCAAACACTGACAGGTTTCCCAGGAAGAAGTACATGGGGGTGTGCAGGCTGGATGAAGCCAGAATGGTGACAAAGATGAGCAGGTTCCCCAGCAAGGCAAAGAGATAGAAGGCCAGAAACAGGACAAAGATCATATTCTCCAGCCCTTCAGTGTGAGGAAGTCCCAACAGGATGAACTCCTTCACAGAGGTGTAGTTGTTCATGCTTGGGCACCAGGGAGGCCTGGAAGCAAAGCAATAATCATGACCTAAGACCTGGAGGATCTGAGAACACCTTCCCACAGAGCGATTTCTCCCTCAGGCAGTGGCTGCCAGCAAGAAGGCTGAGGAGGAAAAGAGAACACCACCAATAAATCTTGACTTGTATTTAAAGTATGTGTCAAATTTGACCACAGCTTTTTCACATGTTAAATGAAAAAAATAACATTAATCTTCATAATCAGCAATTATATTATAGTAATCAAGTCTTATCACCAGTTTAATTTAGGTTCTTCCAATCTGCTTTGTCATCAAACACACATTTCAGAGTCACCTACCTTCCCCCCAAAAGAGGGAGCCTTTTAGTATCAAATTGTTGTAAACAGGTCAACTACCCAAATAGAAAAATCTGAACCTAAACAGAAATTATATACACCGTGCTACTCATGTCTACTCTCAACAGTACTCTTGATTGTCTTCATCATTTGTATTCAAGAGAAGCACATACAGATCACATTTATATTCTGTTCACACATATACTGAAAGAGGATCGAATCTGGAGGAAGGTATTGCATATGTCATATAAATAACCACAGCACCACAGTAGACATTCTAGGTCCTCATGAGATTTTTCTCTGTAATACAAACAATTGCAAATTTTAATACTCTTAGTACTATTTAGCTTTGTTAATTAATATCTATACCAGATACTCCTAAGAAACAAGTTGAATGTTATTCTCAAGTTACAATTTCTTCATTTTTTTAGATTCCATTTTATTCAAATCATCAATAGGTTGCCACAAAATAAAACTAATTTTCCTCTGCTATGACAATACTTGTTCACCAAAAATAAAAAGATAAATATGAGCATATTATTTTACAGACTACAACTCTGTACCTTTCTGGCATCATTTCATTTTGATAAGGGTAAAGTTTTATGTCACAAATAAAATTCTCAGTAAATCCAATGAATGGCAAGGATGAAGATGTGGAGGAAGCTGGAGCTCCTCAGACCCCTGCTGTGCTCAGTCTAACAGCCAGGTCCTGTGCCGGCTGGTCCTGATCTACCTGCTGGAATTGACTGAGATCCTATCAAAGATAACAACTAGATGTGAAAAGACTCTTTTCCAGCCCAAATGCTATTCAAAATTCAACTGTGGGACTTAGCAAGCTATTCAATTTCATACACTTTGTTTTCTATATTTCTGATAAAATTAAGAATGAATAAAATAAAGAGCCATTCTTTGGAAAGCCCACTTTAGAGTTACAGAAAATTGATGCCTCACCCTAATCTGATTACCCCCCCCCCCCTGCATCAGGGGACTTGAGCAAATTAGCCTCCCTGAGCCTCATTTGTTCAAAAGAAAAAAATGATTATTTTCTGCCTCAGAGAATATTTGTGAGAATTGAAATAAGGAAGATGTAATGCTTCACTTAGTCATTTGCACTAAGTAGTAAATGTATAATAAACGTACTTTAATAATTAAGCTTTGTGCACGTAGGACTGAGGTAAAAGTGATAATGTAATAGTAAATGCATTGCTGGTGCCATTAAGATATAATTACAAATGGATTTTGAAGGGTCCTTAGAGTTTTTAAAAATATTTTATTCATTTATTTATTTTTTAAACTAACACCTAAAAACAGTATATTCTTATTAGATTCTAATGTTTTCCAAAGCAGAGAAAGACACATAGGGCAAGAAAATGTTATTTTCTTGAGATTCAAAACATTGTGCTATGTAAATAAATTGGCAGAATCAAAAGAACATTTTGTGACCTAAAATGTGTAAATATTTCCTTTAATCCAAACCCCTATGTTTCTGGCTCAGTAACTCATACTGCTAAGTGGTACAGGTGTCTGGTCCAAACCTGACTCAGACAAAGTGCAAGTATCACAAATTATCTTAGATACACTCAAATTCTCCCCACATGTCCTGTGCAGTCAGTATTTAACACCACACCTCCATGCACAGCTGTCTTCAAGGATGGATCTCACAACGGTCCAAGGAAAAAATTACTAAGAACAGGCTTCACCTCATCGTGCAGAGAGTCATTTAGAAATTGAATTTCTACCACAGAAGATTTAAAGTAGAACTCACAGGATCATTTTTCAGAGAAATAGAAGACATAATCGTTCTCCTGCAAAAAGAGTTAACTATATGTCTTCTTCAACTCTAAGTATTAAAATTTATATGATTAGATTTCATAAATTTTTCAAGTTTTCCCATCACCACACTCACTGAGTTTTGCATTCTATCACCTAGTCCTTAATAAGACAATGGAAATTTGCCCAACTATTAAAGGAAGTTCTCATGTAAATGAGATGTGTAGTAGAGCGGCAATAATTTCTAATTTTACTGAAAGTTAGGATTTCTGAGCAAAGAAACTATTTCCTTCCATGTCACCTACTTCCCCCTACAAGCCATTCTGTGCACACACGTGCACGTGCACAAATACAGGCAGACATACCCCTTCCCCTCCGTGGCTTCCTCGGTGTTGGCTCACTACTAGATCACTGAACTCTGTGACAAGTAAGACTCTCTTCAGGCCCAGGAGTCTCTTCCTTGCATGAGTTGAGCAGGTGAAGAGACCAGGACACACAGCACCTCAGGAGGATGAAGGAGAGCAGAGAGCAGTGTAAGAATAAGATGAGTAGAAGCAGGCAGAGCTTCATACCTACCAGCTGATGGAAAGCACTTATGATGTGGGTAGAGAAAGTTTGTCCTAAACCTATAGCAAGAAGAATGAGTTCCTAAAGCCTGAACTCTATTTTGCATATTGCATGGTATAGAGCCAAGGTTTTGTACTTTATCCTCTTGAAAGCAAAGCATACATTTTATACTCAGCTGGTATTAGTCTGGCCCTTAAATTCTGAATTCATAATGACTTTGAACTCAAAAATATTAATAGACTTGGATTCTTTTGAAACAATATCCCCAGTGGCCCAATCCCCAGACTCAAGAATCATTAATGAGCAAAGGGAATAATCATAAGCTTTTGTTTCTTCCTTGTCCCATTCTCTTCCTCAATATTTTATAATCTGACATGTTGATTATTGAAGTATTAGAGATGTCTGTCTGTAACCTTCTAGTTTTGTGAAATGTTATCTGTCACCCTATAGTGCAATAGGACATCAGAACTTCTTGAGCCTATCTATGATTTAGGACTTTTAAACTTCCCCTAGTAAAAATGGTTGGTATTAACAAGAGTAAAAGTAATAAATGCTGACAGGATTTGGAGTAAAGGGAACCTTTTCATACTATTGGCAGGAGTGTGAGTTAGTTCAATCACTGTGAAAAATAGCATGGATTTTTTTCCAAAATAATTGAAAATAGAATTACCATAGGATTGAGAAATACTGCCACTTGGAATATATTCAAAGAAATGAAGTTAGTGAGTCAAAGAGATATCTGCCATTGCAGCATTATTCCCGGTAGACAAGAAACAGAAACAATCTAAATGTCCATTAACTGATGAAAGCATAAAGAAAATGTCTTACATGATTTATCCACACAAAAAAATGGAATGAAGATCTATCATTTGCAACAACATGATTGGAACAGGAGATCACTATGTTACTGAAATAAGCCAGACACAGGAAGACAAGTACCATATGATCTCACTCCTATTTGGGACCTAAAATAGTCGATCTCATGGAAGTTGAAAGTAGAATGATGGTTACCAGAGGACAGGAAGAGTAGACAGGAGGTAAAATGCTAATCAGTGGGTACTAAGTTACAGTTATACAGGAATAAGAAGTTCTGTTGTACTTTTGTCCTATTGGGTGATTGATTTTAGATTACAATTCTATGCTGTCCATTTCATAAAGCTAGAAGAAAAAATTTGAAAGTTTTCACCATAAAGAAATGATAAATGAGAAGATAGGTATGTTTAACCTGATTAAACTTTATACAAAATATACTGAACATTTTCTGGTACCCGTTAATATGTACAATTCATTATGCTTTTATGCAGAAGTTTAAAAACAAGTTGAAAAAAGTTAAAAATAAAATTTAGTCAGAGTGCAAAAGGGTATATGAAGAGGTCTGTGAGCAAACTATTTTTACTGGCTGCCCCCAAAACAAGCATAGACCTATTAAAAATGTTGTGGCTAACCCCGCTTTCAAAATAATGCAAAAGCAAAAAAGTGGCCTTTTAATGAGGTTTAAGTAAAATTAAAGATATTCTTACAAGTGCTTCATTTTTAAAATTTATTTTAGTTAGTTATACATGAGAGTAGAATGTATTTTTACACCTTGGTATATCATACATAGATGGGCTATGCTTATTCATTTTTCTGATTGTACATGTTGTAGAATCCCGTTTGTCATGCCAGAAGGAATACGTATTCCCTCTCCATGGTTTTGAATTAACAACTGCTGCATAACAAGAATCTTTCTTCCTCTAAAATCTTATGCAGGATGTTCAAGGCTCTTTTATTTTATCTCTGCATCCTCATTAGATGTGACTTTTCTTTAAAATAAAAATATAGGATTTAGAAACTCCAATAATTGCCAAAGTTTACTCCAATAGTTAATCGTAGAACTTGGACTTGAATTTCAGTCTGTCTACACTTACAAGTACTCGATTCTAACTAAATGGAATATATATTTTGAGTCCCAATTTTGAAAAAAGAAAAACATCTTGAATCATATGTTTATATTCATTTTCCTGTTCTTTAACTTTGTTTTCAAAAGGCAGAGAGTCGCCAGGCATGATGGCACATGCGTATAGTCTCAGGGATTCAAGAAGCTAAGGCAAAAGGAGGATTGCAAGTTTGAGGCCACCCTCAGAGACTTAGTGAGGCCCTAAGCAACCTTGTGAGACTCTGTCTCAAAATAAAAAGGACTGGAGATGTTGCTCAGTGGTTAGGCACCCCTGTGTTTGAAGCCCAATACCAAAAAAAAAAAAAAAGGAAAAAATGGGTTATTAGAACAGCTTTAATTTTTTTTTGACCAGCAACGATGGTTTTGAACAACTTTATTGAAATATAAATCACACGTTG